TGTATATATATATATATATATATATATATATATATATATATATATATATACATATATATATATATATATATTTAACATATTTTACATGTGTGAGAAACCTTCCTTAGAATCTTCGTGTTAAAATCCCGCCATATATTTTACTATCGTTAAAGAATCTTATCTCATACAAAACTACTACTCTTTTACAATGTAAAATGCGTTATAGTATTTACCACTATAATATTCACAGATAATCATTTATTCATCGAAGATTTCAAAGAAGCCTTGCAGTAACAATTATGTTAATGTGATTAACGATGAAATACCGGAAAATGAACAATTCGCTAAGTTACATGGAGTTACTTGCGGTATAGACATAAGCGTTTAAGCAAGGAATTATGTAAATTTATCGATGGGAAAAATTTGATTGCGTAAAAAATATATATTTTACATTTTACGTTGCTTTTTAACTATTAAGTAGTAATATCTTTCTAGTAAACGTTATCTTAAAATAACGCTTTTACTAATTGAAATGGTGTTCATGGAAGAAGCTGATATTTTAATTGCGAATTTACACAAATAAGAGAATAGTTATTAAGAGTTATTAATAATAGTCTTAATAGTTATTAAGAAATACACATTTTTAAAGAAATTAACGTAAAGTGTCGTGTAAATAAAAATTAGGTAGAACAAAATAACAATTATTCGTACATAACATTTTGTAGAAAATATATTATTGTGAAATAGATGTTTCACGTGCAGCAACAAATATATAATTGTCGAAAACATCTCTGACAGAAGCGGAGGAAATATTCTCACATAGAGCATAAAGTGCAAGAAAAGAAATCAAAGATTTGCGTTTGAAAGCGAATTCATTGTTCGTTTCAAGTTAAAGAGTCAATAATTGCAAAACCTAAATGCAAAACGTTGAAATACTGAGTCATTAAATTACAAAATAGAATATTATTTAGTCTTATTTTTTGATATGCTTTACCTATGAAAGATTTAGATTTTATCTTTTTTTTTTTAAACTAGGAAAAAGGGAATGTAAAATACTATTTTCATGCTGCCATTTATATTACCTGTTATATGAAGGTACTTTGTTCGTGAGCGACAGCATCGAATTACATTTCGTATCAAACAGTAAATATAGCCGACTAATATTGAACTATCGAACTTACGCAAGCTCTAAGATATTCCGGCATAAGATAGTCTAGTTGAAATAGCTTTTGTGTAATTCATGTTGAATATGCTATTCATGCAATAGTTAGTTGTTACTTAAAATGGTAATTATTCAGTTTAGTATTGATATATAAATCTGTAAATTTGTGAACTTCACTAAGAGAGCGTTTTACGCATCGATGCATGTATGTATGCACGCACGCACATCATGCAATCACAGTTGCTATGTTATATAAATAAGTAAATTCTAGATTTTGATGAAATATTACCTCTTTATGAGAAATATCATGCGATTTCTCTCTATGAGAAACTGAAAAATAACGCATATAGAATAACACGTTCTAAAGTTCGCTTTAGATTATCGATAAGTCGACTATCGATAAATAGAATTTTGTTGCGATGGGCTCATGATATGCAATATTACCGTATGTTCTTACAAAAAGTAATAATAATTATCACTATTGAAAGCATTCCGGGAAATATTCCCATTTACGTTATCTATGATTTCGATAAAAACCAACATCTTACGCTAATTTGACATCATTTTGTTAACACTAATATTTTATTAACACTAAAAGTTCATATGAACTCAGAATGAGAACATCTCCTTATTATGGTTTTAACATTTCGTTAACGTGTTCGCCGATATCCAGTAAGTCGACAATCTAAGAAATGTTAAACGCTAAGTCTAAGTATTTAAGCGACCAAATTACATTACCCATTTTGAACATAATACCGTCTCTCTCCCCCTCTCTCCCCCTCTCTCCCCCTCTCTCCCTC